TGAATGCTCAAGTCATATCTCTACCCCAGCAAATCAGAAGTAGTGGGATTAAAAAATAAAGCTGGAAAAATACTCGAATTTTTGTTGTTATTTTAAGATAACCATAATGTTAAAGCCATTACAAGGTTAAATAGTTTTCACAATGTAGCTATATGTGTCTGCTTACAAGTAACTCATAGGAGCCGAGGATGGTCTAAAAGTCACTATGTAGATGACCTGTCTTATTGTGCTGGGGTTACAAACATGTACATAGCTTCAGGTGTGTGTGCGTGTTTGTGTGTGGGGGCTCTCATACCCTATGCTGTTCTTGAATTGGCTGTATAGGTGAGGATGGTCTCGAACTTCTGGTCTTCCTGCATCTTATATCCTACATGCTTGGATTTCAGGCATGATTCACCATGTCTTGTTCACAATACCACGTTTATATGGTGCTGAACTTCCAACTCAGGACTTATTGCTGCTAGGCAAGCCCTGTCCTGATGGATTAACCCCCCCCCACACACACACACTGTTTTTAGTCAGGCTGCCCTTGAACTCAAGATCCTGCCTGGGATAACAGGTATGTGCCACCGTGTTCAACTTGACATTTTAACCAGAGACAAGGATCTCTTGTGTTAGTTTTCCCCATTGGGAGAAAGTTGACTTGGATGTGTACATTTATGCATGCCTGCTTGTTCTAAAATGTAAGGTCTGCTGAGACATGAGGTTTTGGAAAGGGGTGTGCTGTAGTGAGAGGCTCTGGAGGCAGGCAGCAGGAGACTGGTGGGAGCTTCTGGTTCCTCCATAACCTTCAGTTTTGCAATTGGAAGGAATGTGTGTGGCATGCTAGGCATCTGGGTCTTCTGTGTCCACCCACAGAGAGCATGTGACCCTCACTAAGCAGATGACTGGGAAGTGGAGGTAGCAGTGTGATACACATCTCCTTGTTACTAGCCTGGGGATGTAGGGAGTGACCTGCCCAACCTCTTCTTGGAAGCTTCCTGCACTGTGGGGGTGGGGAGGTGTCCTTTTCCAAGCCCTTATCCGCCTGGCTTTCCAGGTAGCATTCTTACAGCAAAAGGAGACTTGGGTTCCTCAGTTGCTGCTGGACCAAGACCTGGGATTGTGTTCCTTAAAAGCACTTCCTCTAGACAATTGGTGACTGCTTCCTGCGCTGCCTGGGTGGGAGGTACAAACTCACTTAGCTTCAAGCCTGGTTCTGCCTCTCACTCACTGTGGCATGCTGAGCAAGCTCTCCGCCTCAGGATGCTATGTTGGTAGATTGGGGATTAAAGTAGCCTCGGGCCAAGGCAGTTCTGGAATGTAGAGCAACCAGGACCTCACCCTGCTGCCCTCTCAGAAACCAGAGGTGGCTTTGGGCTTCCAGGCCTTGCAAGTGGGAGACAGAGACTGCTCAGCTTTTCATTGAGTTCCTCTTGCTCTAGCCTAGCTTCTGCCGTTAGTCCACATAGGAACGGAGATGCCTTCAGGAGCAGAAGTGCTCTGGGTGTCTTGAATGCCCAGGAAGCTGGACAGAGCTTTCATTCATCTCTTGCTAAAGCCTTCTTGGGTCCTTCCAGTTTCTCCTGCCTATAGGTCCTCATGTGCTGCTCCCCCATTGTCCAGGAGCCTCATAATTAGGTGCTAAAGTTTCTGGTATGGTTTCATAAGGTTCAGAACATCTGGCTAACCAAGACTCCTTCCAACACATTGTAGCTGGGTCTACCGATCCTTTGCCTTGCTGCTGCCTCTCAGCTCCATTGGACCCCCTGTGTGACTAGCGCATATATATATATGCATGCATGCACAATGGTGAATGAACACAACCTCTCACCTTCCCTGCATTTGTCCGTCCTTCACACTTCTTTACTTAGCCAGAGTCATTGCGGGGCATTTACATCAGCACTTTTTAATCCCTCAAGCCATCTGTCTCCTTCCATTCCTCCTTTTCCTCCCAAGAATATACTATGTAACTGGGCATGGTAGTGCATGCTTGTGATTCCAGCACCTGGGGATAGACAGGAGGATGGAGTTCAAGGCCAGGATAGTCTACCTAAAGTTCAAGACCAGCTTGGGTTGTACAGTGAGATCCTGATTTGAAGAAGGCACTTGCTTCTGACAGCAGCATGTCACTGCTTCCCCGTATCTTTTTTGCTTTCCTTTGCCCTCATTGGAGGGAATGGGTTATGTGACTGTGTGGCAGTGTTTCCAAGGGCAGCGGGCAGGCTTGGGCGCTCTGAGGACCTGAAGTGTGTTTTCTGATCAAGCCCCTGGCTGGGCTGGGAATTGTATCTGAGCTTCATTTTGCTATTGCCAACTTTCCTAACTGCTGAGGGTCTCCCAGCTTAGATGTCTGTTTACTTGTTGAGATAGATAGAAGTCGGTACTGAAAGTCATCTCTAGTAAAAAATCATGTATGGACCCTTAAAACCGATGTTTGTTTTCTCTATCGCTTTATATTGTTCTTCAAGTATGAGACAGCTTTGTGAATGGGGTTACTTTTAACCTCAGATAAATCTTATTTTAGTCCTGCAGTAGTAATTCAGGGTTGGAAGGTGGTGTCTGACCCAGCGTGGCTTTGACACTGGTTAGGACAGTGCTTTGTGCAAGTGTTGCTATCATTGGCCAGTTGGTTTGACTGGGAGTCAGAGTCACTATGTATTCTTGGCTATCCTGGGACTTGGTGTATAGACCAGGCTGGCCTGGCTGGAGTTCACAGAGGTCTTGCCTGTCTCTGCCTTCAGAGAGCTGGGCGGATAGGCCTGCACAGCCATGCCCAGCCTGCTAACCAGTTTTGAAGTAATTATTATTTATTCCCTCTAAAAGAGGACAGTATACTGGACACATGCCAGACCGTGGCTACTCTATGTAGTGACATCTCTATTGTAGAAATGTCTCAAGATACCTCCTGCTCCCACTTTCTCTATCCGTAACCAAAGCAAAAAAAAAAAAAATGTTTGTGATGACCTGAATCAGCTATAGGAATCACAAGTCCCCAGTACCAATATTAAAGGATATGGTAGATACTCTCTCCCTCTCTCCTATACGGTGTTCTGCCTGCATGTATGTCTGCAGGCCAGAAGAGGGCACCAGGCCTCATTTCAGATGGTTGTGAGCCACCATGTGGTTGCTGGGAATTGAACTCAGGACTTGTGGAAGACCAGCTAGTGTTCTTAACCACTGAGTCATCTCTCCAGTCCCGCGGTAGATAATGCTTTAAAATGTCACTTGTGTTTGTAGAATTTGGGTACATCAGAGGCCCACTGGTGGCTTCAGTGATGGTGTGAGTCCCATCATACTGCTGCAGTTGGAGGCTGCAGTATGGAGCACCAGCCCCTCCTCCTGCCTCTCCATGCTACTTCGGAAGGAAGGGCTAGACAAGTGCTATGCAGTGAAAATATAGTGGGACCTCATGTGTAGTTTTAAATGGTCTAACAGCCTTTAAGAATTGGGAGCAATGGCTAGTGATTAAGGACTCTGGTTGCTCTTACAGGGGACTTACCCACCATCCACCTGGTGGCTCACAACTGTCTGTAACTCCAGTCCCAGGGGTCTGATGCCCTCTTCTGGCCTCAGGGTATCACTTGTGTGTGTGACGAACAGATACATGTAAGCAGAACCCCCGTACACAGAACATAATTAAGAAAAACACACCGAAGTAAACCAAGCAGTGGTGGTACTCGCCTTTAACCCCAGCACTCAGAGGGCAAAGCCAGGTGGATGGATCTCTGTGAGTTCAAGGCCAGCCTGGTTTACAGAGTGAGTTCCAGGACAGCCAGGGCTACACAGAGAAACCCTATCTCAAAAAACAAAATACAAAAAAGTGAAATTGATAAATTATTTTCTGTAGCTTAGCAAGTCTAAAATATGATTTCAACATGTGGTAAATACTTTCATTGTTGTTTTCTTTTTTTTTTGAGAAAGGGTTTCACTGTGTAGCCCAGGCCAGCCTCAGCTCATAGATCCACCTGCCTTTGTTTCTCAAGTGCTGGGATTAAAGGCATGCACTTCCATAGCCCAGACATGATAAACTCACTCTCTATCTATCTATCTATCTATCTATCTATCTATCTATCTATCTATCTATCTATCTATGGTTTTTCGAGACAGGGTTTCTCTGGCTTTGGAGGCTGTCCTGGAACTAACTCTTGTAGACCAGGCTGGTCTCGAACTCACAGAGATCTGCCTGCCTCTGTCTCCCGAGTGCTGGGATTAAAGGCATGTGGCACCAACGCCCGGCTCAATTTATTTATTTGTTTTTTATTCATGTGTAAGTGTGTGCATATGCACAGGTGTTTGAAGGTACCCTCAGGCCAGAAGAGCGTGTCATTGATCCCTTGGAGTTTTATGAGATAGTCACCCAGCATGGGTGCAGGGAACTGAACTTGGGTGCTCTGCAAGAGTAGCAAGAGCTCTTAACTACTGAGCCATCTCTTCAGCCCCAGTAAATACAATTGTTAATGAGATGTTGCACACTGTTTTCTTTAGGCTGTCTGAATCCACATCACTAGCTGTCTTGGCTACATGTGCTAGCCCCTCGCTGGTTATTGAGACTCACAGCTTCCCTCTGTCAGCTTTGTATTTCCTGGGAGGTTTGTAAACAGGAGTAAAGAAGGAACCGTGCGTGTTGGAGAGGGAGACTTATTTGCTCAGGAAACGGGCTCTCAGACTGTCCACATGTCTGCTAGTGGGTCGAGCAGCTGGGCGAAAGGCCTGGCTGCCCCTGCAGACAAGCAGAGAGCTTGCTTGAGCTGCAGATGGTGGCACGCACCTCTAATCCCAGCCCCCAGCCCTGGAGGCAGAGGACTCAGATCTCTGAGTTCTAGGCTAGCCTGGTCTACATAGGGAGTTCAGGCCTGCTGGCTACATAGTGAGACCCACTTGTTTACAATCTATGGCAAAGCCTTTAATCATTGGTCCCAAAGCTGGGCTGGGGGGGGGGGGTGAGAGAGTCTCTGTTGATGAGAAACATTAAGAAATTAATCAATAAATGAAGACCTTGTGTTTATCTTTTCATTTAGTGGAATAGAAGATGAACTCAACTGAATTCAGTGAAGATGTAGAAGAAGGTAAAATTTTTAATTGAATATTTTGAGTAAGTTATACATTCATGTAGTCCCAAATTTTTAAAAGGTATTTAATGATAAACCTTCCTACCCGTTATTGGCAACCTCTTTATCTATACACCTATTTTGAATTGCTTTTTAAAATCATAGAAAGATAATATCTAAGGGTGGGGATGTAGTTCAGTGTTAGAATCCTTGACTCTGGGTCAGTTAGATCTATCTAGCTCTACCACACACGTAAGATTTTTTCCCCATTTACTCCTCCCCACTACACACTTTTAAACCCAATATGAATTGAGCCGTGAACTTCTTGTACGTCACTGGCATGTGTAGGGAAAGGACCTTGTTGCTGGGAAGTGCTAGACATTGCCCTTAAGTAACAGTGCGGTGTAGGGGTGTCCCTTAGAGCCCTGCAGCTCTCCCAGCAGCCTCGGTCTTCCCATTGATCCCCGGTTCTTCTCTGCCGTAGTTGTGAGAAACAGCGCCGTGAAGGTAGAGGAGGACCATGCTGCCCTGGACTGCTCCCGGAATTCCAGGGGCCTTGAGAAGCACCCCTTGGACAGCGTCCTCTCTGCTCTCCAGGAGTCCAGCAAGAGGAAGCAGCTGGGCAGCGACGGCCAGCCAGACTCTGTCCCCAGCGTGAAGAGGAGACGGTTGATACCTGAGGTGAGGACCCGACTCCCCCTGGCCAAGAGGAATCTCTCTGCTCATGGGCATCTGGCCAGCTGTTGAATTCTTGTGCATGAGAAAGGTTTCATTTAAGTTGTCTGACCTCAGCTTCTAGAAGGTACCTTCACTGAAACCCTTCCCACTGTGCTTATGGGGAGAGTGGTGTCTTTATAATACAACTGCTTTATGTTCTTGTTTTGCTCTGCCTTTAGGGATGTGGGGCAATTCCCTCCCTCCCTCCAGGGTCTCTATAGAGCAGGTTGACCTCAAACTTACAGAGATCCACTGCCTCTGCTCTAGGAATGCTGTGACTCAAGGCTTTTTTCTTTGTCTTTCTGACTCCCTCCCCTCCCCTTCCTTTCCTTTTCCTTTTTTGTAATGGAAACTGAGCTCAGCCTTGGGCTGGGCAATCATTCATCACTGAGCTACTTTCCAGCCCTTTTGTACTTTTTATTTGAGACCGTCTTATCAAGTGGCCTACTCTGGCTTTAACTTACCTTGTAGACCAACAGGCCTTAAACTAGCCATTCTCCTGCCTCAGCCTCCGGAGGAGCCGGCTTTACAGGGTCCTGTGTTTCTGTTTTCTTCCTCCTCCTTGACAGAGTCTCACTGCTTTAGCTGGCCTAGATAGTCCCTATATAGTCCAGGCTGGTCAGACTTGCAGAGCTGGCCTGCCTCTGCCTGCTGTGCTGGCATTTACATCCCATGCCCAGCTGCTGTGTTACTGTTTGCTTATGTTACCTTGACTAAAGGCTAATGGAGATAGAGAATGGTGGGAAGTAAACTGCACCACATAAAGCAGCAGGGACTGGAGAATGAGGCGTGAGGTGGGTGTTTAGGGTGGAGGCTTCTGTGGTCCTGCAAATTACCTTTAGTTCCTAGAAAAGCATTTCGCCAGACTCCTAAACCTAGCTCCAGATTTTCTGCCTTCAGCCCCCACCTCCTTGTCATTCTTGGTCTTTGGGAGAGCCAGGTATGCATTCTTACCTGCATAAGCATTTTCAGTGCCCAGAGCACCAGGGGTTCATCAGCTCTCTCCTTTTAAACCCAACCCAACCCAACATCCCCCCCTCCCTGCCGCCCACCCCCCTCCACATCTCCAGGGCCTGACGCTGCCTGGGTTAGCCCTGAACACTGTAGCAGCCGATGATCTTGAATTACTGATCCCCTGATTCTGCCTCTGGAGTGCTGGGTTTACAGATGTGCGCCTCCATGCCTTGTTTATGTGGTGCTGAGACTGGAACCCAGGGTTTTGTGCATGCTAGGCAAGCAGTGTACCAACCAAGCTGTGTTCCCAGTTATCTTCATCCCTATTCTATGGCTATGAAGAGACACCATGACCAACCCATGGTATTTTGAGGCAGGGTTTCTTTCTCTGTGTCACCCTGGCTGTCCTGAAACTCTCTTTAGACTAAGCTGGCTTTGAAATCAGAGATCTGCCTGCCTCTGCCTCCCAAGTACTGGAATTAAAGGCGTGTGTGGCCAACTCTTATCACAGGAAAGCATTTAATTGTGGGCTCGCTTACAGGTTCAGAGGGTTATTAGTCCATTATCATCATAATGGGGAACATGCTTCCATGCAGGCAGACGGGATCCTTAGGCAGGGAGAATAAGCATTTGGGCCTGGCATGGGCTTTTTAAACCTCAAAGCCCACCCCAGTGACACACTTCCTCTAACAAGGCCACACCTCCTAATCTTCAAATAATGCCATTCCCTGGTGGCTATTTTATGAGCCTATGGGGTCCATTTTAATTCAAACTATCGAACTAGCCTTAGTAACTTTTTATAGTATTCTTTATATAGATGTTTCTTACTAGACTTATACCTAAACCTTGCTTTCTTTTTTACATTCATTCATTTCTTTGTCCAAGCATGTGGAGGTCAGGACAACTTGTGGGAGTTGTTTCTTTTCTTCCCTGTTCTGGGAATGGTCTTGAGGGCAGGCACCTTTAGATTGTGTTATATTTTATGTGTGTCAGTGTTTTGCCACTGTGTACCATGTGGCTGCCTTCTGCTCTCAGAGGCCAGAAGAGGACATTGGATCTCCTGGATCTAGAATTACAGATGGTTGTGAGCCATAAACCAACCTTGGTCCTCTGAAAGAGGAGCCAGTGAATTGTTCTCAACCATTGAGCCTCCTCTTCAGTACACGAAAAAGCACTGTAACTTTAATTTTCTTTCCTTATTTTATTAGCTTTAGCACAATATTGAACAGAAATGATGAGAGGAAACTTGGTGTTTTGCTCCAAGTGATATTCGTGAGGTTTCTAGTTTCTCAGGTTAGAGTAGGCTTATGGAAGATATTCTTTTTAAATTTTCTAGTCTAATCTTGTGCAGGGTGTGTGTGTGGGGGGGGTCAGAGGCTAATTAATAGTATTTGGTTTTGTGGGTTTTTTCTTTGTTTGTGTTTTTTTTGGTTGTTGTTGGTTTCTTTTTTGAGACAGGGTCTTTTTGAATAGCTCTGGCTTTCCTGGAACTCACTATGTAGAACAGGCTGGCCTCAACTCACAGGCTTCTGTCTCTGGAGTTCTTGGTTAAAGGCTTGTGCTGGTAATTGGTTTTCTCCTACCAACATAAGGGTCCAAGGAATTGAACTCAGGTCCTCAGTGCCTTCACCTGCTGAGCCATCTCACTCCCAACCCCATTCCCCCATTTGCTGAGAAATTTAATTATGAGTGATGTTGGATTTTGTCATCTATTTATACAATTACATAGCTGTTTCTCCTTTACATTGTTTGTTGTGATAGATTACATTAGTTGGCTTTTCAAATGTTGAACTAGCCAAGATCTGGCCTGGATCATTACACACACACACACACACACACACACACACACACACACACACACACTTCCCCCTCATTTGTTTTTGTTTTTTTGAGACAGGGTTTATCTATGTAGCCCTGGCTGTCTTCAAACTCAAAAATCTGCCTACCTCTGCCTCCCAAGGTGTGTGTCACCACACCTGGCAGTTATTTTTTTATTCATTGTTAAATTAAATCTGACAATATTATAGTAACCATCCCTGTGTCTGTATTAATGGGAAATACTGTTGTTTCCTTGTTGTGTCACCTGGTTTTAATATGAAAGCATCCTGGCCCAATAAAGGAATCGAGAGAATGTCTGTGTTCTGAAAGATACTGGAGAGAAATGCTATAGGGATGGGAATGTGACTGGGAAGGTGCTTGTTTAGGATGCAGGAATTCTGAGTACAGCGGTCATGTCTGTAATCCTGCATTCTGGAGGATGGGCAGGAAGATCAGAACTTCTAGGGTAGAGTGGGCCTCAGCTGTGTATTACACAGTGCCGTTGAGTCAACCTGGAAAACATGTGGTTGAGGGGGGGAGAGTTTTATAATTTATTCTGAGACATGGTCCTATGTAACCCAGACTGTCCCGCCACGGCTCCCCAAGGGACAGGATTATAGGTCTGACCAGTGAGCCTGGTTTACACAGTGCCGAACCTGGGGCTCACGACCTTGTGCACATAGGCAAGCACTTCACCTGAGCTACATTTGCATTCTTAGATCTTAAGTTTATTGGTTTTGAGACAGACTTGCTATGCTGTATACCTTAGGCTGCCCTGGAATTTACTGATGGTAGTCTTCCTGCATCAGTCTCCACCACAATGTACCGTGCCGTCCCTTCCGTAAATGTTTATGGAATGTACCTTCGAGATCATTTGGGCCAATTGGCTTCAGTTGTAACAGACTCAAAATGAATTGTTGATTCATTTTCTAATATGTTCAGCTATGCTCACATTGTCTGTTTCTTTTTTTTTTTTTCGAGACAGGGTTTCTCTGTGGCTTTGGGGGCTGTCCTGGAACTCGCTTGGTAGTCCAGGCTGGTCTCCAACTCACAGAGATCCGCCTGCCTCTGCCTCCCGAGTGCTGGGATTAAAGGCATGTGGCACCAACGCCCGGCTTCTTTTTTTTTTTTTTAAGTCTTCTGATAGTCTATTGTTTTGTTGTTGTTGAAAGACTTATTTATTTATTATGTATACAGTGTTCTGCCTGTATGACAGAAGAGGGCACCAGATCTCATTGCAGATTTTTGTGAGCCACCATGTGGTTGCTGGGAATTGAACTCAGGACCTCTGGAAGAGCAACCAGTGATCTTAACCACTGAGCCATCTCCCCAGCCCCATTGTCTGTTTCTTATATGACCTTTAACAGATTGTGTCTTAAGGAATTGGCCCATTTAATCTGAGTTAGCAAATGGTCTCCCCCCAGATTTTCAGAGTGGTGGTCATTCCCTTTATTATCCTTTCAGTGGCTTTGAGATCGTTAGTAATGGCTCCCTGGTTTTTCTTTGATTTTCTTTTTCTTTCTTTTTTTTTTTTTTTTTGTCTGTTGTAATTCAGGCTGGCCTCTAGCTCACTATGCACCAAGGATGACATTGAACTCCTGAGTCCCTGTTGTTACTTCCCAAGTCCTGGGTCATAGGTCTGTGTCTGTGCCAGCATGCCGGCCTTAGATCTGTCTTTTGTGACATATGAAACTCTGTATCTTGAAAGTATAATCTTGAAATCGATAAGTTAATGGGATTTTTGTCATTTAGTTCCGATTATTTGTAATTTTCCATTGTGATTTCTTATTTGACTCATGTGTTATTTATTTTTAATATTTATTTTCAGTATTGAGAATTTAACATAGCTCCCCATGTATATTAAGTAAGGAGTCTATCACTAATATGCACCCCCAGCCCAAGTCTGGTTATTGGGTCACATGATGGTTAGTCCTTGTCCTGTTGTCCTACACACACAGAGAGAGATTCCTCTGTGTAGCCCTGGCTGTCCTGGAACTCACTCTGTAAAACAGGCTGGCCTTGAACTCACAGAGATCCGCCTGTCTCTGCCTCCCGAGTTAGTTAATTATCAACTTGATCTAAAATCCCCTGAGCAGGGGTCTCAGTCTGGGAGCTCCTGGAGTGAATTGGCCTGTGGGTGTGTCTGTGGGATTTATTTTGATAGTGTTGAGTGGAAAGAACTGCCTGTTGTG